TCAGCAGGAGAATTGTCCAGCTGAAGCTGCTCAGCTCTGGCTGTCTGAGCTGTTGAGACACATTCTCTGCTTCTGTCAGCAGTGTGGTGAGAAGCAGGGGGGTGCTTTGGTGACCATGGTGCTAAAACTTCAGTGCTGGGGGAGCAGGAATGCTGTTTCTTCTTGCCCTTCCAAGATCATCAAAGCCAAGCCAGCTTGCATTGCTTATGCCTTGTCTTTCCTCCCCCAAGGCCTTTAAATCACCTTTCCATGGATTTTATTGAACCACCAAATATATAAGCAGGCCTCTCCCCTGAATATCTAGGCCAGGGAAAACTTGTCCTCCTGCTAGTGTCTCCAAACTGTGGCCCCTGCTGCTCCCTCCCTATTCTGGAATGGACTTCCTAGGGGTGGAAAGCAGAATTTCGGACACCAAAGCTAGCAAGGGGTGGGAGATAGCCTGCCTCGCACTGTTCTGCAGTTTGGCTCCTAATCCTGGTTAATCCCAAGGAAACAAACCGTCTTTGTGATCTGGCCAATCCAAGCTGAAAATAAACCTACAGGAAGAATCCAGGCAGAGGCAAAATGGAGTCTGTGAAAGAGCTGGGGGATGGGGGCAGAGCGGGTGTTTGGAGTTGTGGGGAGGTTACAGTGTTTGTTTTCTTGCCTGAAGAAGCATTACCTTAAATACTGGTTTATTAATGCCTCTCATATTTTCCCTTCTGGGGCTGACCATGCTTTGGGCAAGGCAGGTATTTGACCATACGTTTCCATCCCTGCAGAAACCCTAGTCTACATTTCTCTTTGTATGCAACATTCTTGTGTCGCCCAAGGAAGTGGTTAGGTGTCCGTGTACTTGTGGGGTTTTGCTACTTGTCCTGCCCCAGCCTCAGAGAGAGTTTCACAAAGCTGGAGAAGTCCTTCACAAAGGTGTAGATGCTCCAGCTTTGCCTCTCTTTGTCTTGTGATTTTGAAGCTTCAGCATGTATCTCACTCTCATGGCTTCCTGGAAGGGCACGAGTTTGTCCCTGGTGATCTCCTTTGCTTTGCTGCCACTGTGTCCTTATGTGTTGGTTAAATGCTGGTGGTGTCCCACTAAGCTGTTAACCTGAGGGAGAAGGCCTGAGTCGGGAATGGTAATGCGTGATGCAGATTGGAGGGGGAACAGCGTGCAGGGCTGGACACAAAACCAGACAGGCTGAGGCTCTGTGAGAATCCTGCCCCCTGGCAGCATGGCCTGACTGCCTACTCCACAGCCCAAGCAACCTTGTCTCTTGCAGGGAGAGGCTTCTACCTCTCCCATGCTCTTAGTTGCTATCTGTGTGGCACACAAATGTCCCACCATGCCCTAACCCTTACCTGAGGCAGCGTCTCTAGCTAGGGTGTCTGGCTCTGAGCATCCTCCTGTTCCAAGATAAGTTTGTCTCCTTTTCCTGGCTTTCCTCGCATCCATCTTCCACCGTACTTCCCCCAGGCTGTCACACCCAGCCATCAGTCAAACTGGAGCCCTCCCTGGTGCTATGCAACAACAAGGCCCTCACATTTCCTCAGCGCCAGCCCCAGCTCCTGGCTCCAGTAACAACCTTTTCCTCTGGCTTGGCCTGACATCACTGTGCAAGCAGGCCGTTCCTCCCACTGTCCCAGGGCACTGACCCACAGAGCAGCTGCCTGCTGCTCATTTGTCAGAGAGAGGGAGTCGCAAACAGGAAATGCCTTGCAGCGCGTACCCAAGCCAGGACGCAGGCTCTCTCTCACATACCCCAGGATTAGAACGGCAGCATGTTGCCAGAGGCTCGTTGGCAGCCCCAGCCCAGGAGGGCACGTGGGTAGCACGTGGGCTGACCAGGCTGGAGATGCCCAGAGAATGCGGCTCTCTCTGAGGCAGCCCAGCCCAGGCTTGTCAGAGCAGAGGAGGTGGAGGGAGTAACCAGCAGCCTATGCCAGGGCCAGACCTGGTGTCTTGTCAGTGCTGCCCTGTGCTCCAGAGCTCTGTGCAGTAGGGCTGTGTGAAAAAGCACACTTCTGATTTGACTTCCGTTTTGATGATTCGACAAAACAGTTTCATTTTGTTTCAAAAGCACTGTTCCATTTCGTTTTGTAAAACTGTTTTGCTGTTTAGATGTTTCGCCCATAGGTTATTATTGGGAAACAAAATGCAGCCGGCAAGCAGGTCAGGGTCTTGCCTACACCTCCGGGAGGGCTGCCAGGGCTGTACCGGAGTCCTCCCTTGATCTGCCTGCCAGATGAGAGAAGCCTGGTGATGCCGCCTGGGACCAGCACCTGGAAGAACGCTGCTGCCGTCGGTCCCAGGCAGCAGCACCCAGCTCCTCTCATCCGGCAGGCAGATCAGGGGCTCACCCACACCCCTGGGAGGGCTGCTGAAGTTGTATTGGAGTCCTCCCAGGGGTGCGGGCCCCCAATCTGCTTGCCAGATGACAGACTGGCACTGGGCACAGCCCACACCCAGCACCGGGAAGATCTTTGCTGCCACTGGCCCCAGGCAGCAGCACCTGGCTCCTGCCACCCAGCAGGCAGATCAGGGGCACACACCTCCAGGAGGACTCTGGCACAGCCCTCCTGGGGGTGCTGGCAGGCCCCTGATCTGCCTGCCGGGTGACAGGAGCCGGGTTCTGCTGCCTGGGACCAGTGGGGCCAGGGCAGATCAGCTCGTGCGGGGACCTGGTGCCCCGATCCTGGGACGGAGGAGGGTCCCCACACGAGCTGACCTGCCCCAGGCCCCGCACCCACCTGGAGCATGGTACGGCTACCTGACAGCATCACAGCTAACTGTTCACCTGAAAACTTGTGTTTTATTTCTGGGTGTATCATTTATGTGCTTAGCTGAGTAACATCACTGTCCTGTGCTCCAGTTTTCATACATATAAAATGAAGGAGAAGACGGAGTGACATTAGCTGCCTTTCCTTGTAAAGTGCTTGGAGATCTGCAGATAAGAAATGCAAAGAGCTGAAGCACCACTATAATGTGTGCAGGAACTAGAGCAGAGAGTCCTGGGGTGGGGGTAATTTGGGCTCATGTGATTGTTAAAGTGCGCCAGGTGTGCTATGCAAACACTATGATGGTGGTGCCACATGAGAACGTGGCTTGGTCTTGCCAGTATGGGGCCAGGGCAGATCAGCTCATGCGGGAACCCTCCCCTGCCCCGAGATCGGGGTGGTGAGTCCCCGCACAAGCTGATCTGTCCAGGCCCCATACCAGAGCCAGCTTGAGATGGGTGTGGGGCCTGGGGCAGATCAGCTCGTGCGGGGACCCTCCCCCACCCTGGGGTCGGGCCAGTGGGTTCCTGCACGAGCTGATCTGCCCCAGGCAGCAGCACCCGGCTCCTGTCACCCGGCAGGCAGAGCAGGGGCCCGCCAGCACCCCCAGGAGGGCTGAGGGGGCTGTACCAGAGTCCTCCGGGGGGGTGCAGGCAAGCTCCCGATCTGCCTGCCGGATGACAGGAGGCAGGTGCTGTCAACTGGGACCGGCGCTGAAGCCAGTAAGCCTGACTTTGAAACTTTCAAAACATTTAGTGTTCCCTTGTTCCATTTTGCAGCTGTTTTGAAGGCTTTTGTTTCATTTCGATTTCGCTGTTTTGATCTCAAAACACATTGAAACAGCTTTGAAATGAAACGCTGGGCGACATTTCGCACAGCCCTGCTGTCCAGCTGGCCAGGAGTGCCTCTCCTGGCCTTCTAGCTTGGAACCTCTGTGGAGCCAACCAAGCCAGGTCTTGTTGGTCAGAGCCTGTGGAGGAGGCTCCTGTTCTCATGAGACTGAAGCAAACACTTAACCCCAGCTCTCAAGCAGGAGGGCACTAGTGTGTTTTGTTCCTCCACAAGTCCCATAGCACAAGGGGCTTTTCTTTGACTAATAGCTTCCTCTTAGCCGGCTTCCTGTCAGCTCCAAGAGACAGCAGCAAGGACCAGTGGGCAAAGCCCAAGCCTGGAAACACAGAGTCACTGGGTAGCGCCACTGACTTCAGACATGGCTTTAGCCAAAGCTTTTAGCCTGGCAGTGCCCCAGGAAGCAGGGCTCACTCCAGTCTGCCTCAGCTTCAATGTTTGCAAGGGGCTTGAAGAGCAAGCCATGCCCCACAGCATAAGGCACGTTCTGGCCTTGCATGTACCTGTTGGCACTGAGTATTACCCTAGGCAGTGCTCCAGCTCCTTCAGGTCCCCAGATAGCAGCCAGCGCAGCCCGGACTACATTTCTAAAGCATCAGCCATCCACCCAACCTCCTGGGGCCTGGCATGGCCTGGAGTAGGAGTAGTTTGAATCCTCCTTGTTGATGGAGAAGCACTGGCAGTGCCTTGAGCTATTGTGAGTGCAGGCAGTGCCCTCAGAGACAGGGTGTTCTCTGGCTTTCACGCTGAGGATTTGTTTTGTAAGAGCTGGGCTCACGGCAGACACTCCCCGTATACTATACCCAGGAGCCATGTACTAGATTGGAGCAGCAGGCCTGTTGTTTACCCTGCCTTTCCCACTCCTTCCCATGTGCTTGTCTAGTTCATCAGGAGCAAGGAGGGCAGTGCCAGGCCTCTGCCTAGGTACCTGGATGCCTCCTCTTTCTTCCCCACCCCCTGCTTCTGAGCTGCCATAAATCTGCACATACTTGTAATGCCCCTTTGGCCAGCAGCTGCCTTGTGAAGGGTGGGGCAGCTTTTCATGGTGTAAAGCAGTGGCTGCCCACCCTGGGAGCAGGGCCCGCTAGCCCGTTGGCTCCTGCGATGCTGCTTGTGGGGCCCTTTGGACATGAAAAATGCTCTCAGGTCTTTGCTTTCTCCCCCAGAGACAGCACCAAGATTGGCCATGGCTTCAAGAAATCACCGGCACCCAACATCGACTATGTGGAGCTGCTGCAGCACTTTGAGAAAGTCCAGAACAAGCACCTAGAAGTGCGGCACCAGCGGGCAGGCCGGGGGGAGCACCTGGACCGGAGGGTCATCCTCTGAGTGCCAAAGCCCTCAGCATGTGTGGAGACTGTAGCTCGGGGAGAGGCCAAGGCAGGGGGAGCCACAGGGACTTAGTGGCTGCAGTGGATTCAGGACATGTGCTCCATTGGGGAGGGAGGACCAGGGCTGTTTGGAACACTCAGCTGGGGAAGGATCTCCACCAGCAATGCTTGCATGCAGGGCACTTTCCTGGAGAAATGTCTGCAAAGCCCAGGACCTGATACCATGCAACCTTTCTCATTATCTCAAAACAAGCTTGTTGGGACCTGTTGGTAGGGAGGTGACTGGAGGAGCCACCAACTCCATCTACCCATCCTTGGACTCGTGCAACAGGGTGAGCTAGCTACTTGCCTTACTAATGCCTCCCCTGTGACAGTCAGCTGATGGCCTAGACTGGCCTTGCCAGTAAAGCCATAGGGCAAATATGTCAGAGGAATTTTCTGGTACCTCCAGCCTGAAAACAAGCGTGCGTGTGATTGGAGGGGCATTACCTCCCTTACTGCCCTGCTGCCCTCCCGCATGTCACCTCCTCCTCAGTCAGCTCTGTGACACTCTTCATGAAGGAAAACAGGTCTCCATAGCTGGCTCCCTGGATCTTGCAGAGGAGCCTCCTCTGACCTCCCCAGGGCAGTGCCAGCAGCATCTAATTCTCCAGTGCTCTTGGCTCTCTGGATCCACATTCCTGTGCGTGTGCATGCACACGTGTATGTGTGTGTGCGTGTCCCTAGCCCCCAGTGTAACTCCCCTCACTGCTGTGCATATGGTGATGCAGCCTTAATTTATAGCTAACCTCAGAGCATTCTACATGTGTGTATATAGAGTCCAAATCAGATTTCTAGCTTGAAAATAGATCTTTGTACCTACAAAAACCCCTCCCCATATCAAAATAAAAGAATGGCGCAGAATGCCTGGTGTGTACCCTTCCTTGGGAATCTCCATCAGTCTGGGGACTTGGGCAGCCCTCTGGGCCCCATTTGACTTCAGCCCTGGGGACCGTGCAGGGCACTTGACTCTCCAGGCCAAGCCCAATATCTGTGCCTCCTTTGTGTTTTGAGACCAGGTCCAAATTTGCCATTTATTTCCCAGGCAAAGGGAGGCAATGCAACCTTCCTTCCACATGGCTAGAGTCTGCCCTTTGCTCAGCATTTGAAATGCACTGAGAGGTTATAACCCATCTCAGCACATGTCCCACTTAGTAAAGATCTGCTGAGAGTTCACAGCCCCAGTGTAACTACTCAAAAGAGCTTTCACAGTGGGGTAAACAGGCAAGAGGTTGGGGTATGGTTGGCCCCCAGCTAGGACCCATAATGTCAGACTGGAGCAACCCAAGGGATCTACTTGATCTGGTGTCCTGCACCCAGCAGTAGCAGCATTCCTCAGGGAAGTCTTCCAGCCCCTCTCTTCACTGTTGGTCGGTTTGTGGTATGAAGCAGGAGGACTTCAGGCTTTGCTGTCCATGGAAATGTCTTATTCTTGTGCTACCCAACTCCTTGCCCATGCTGCAGCTGCCAGATCGTCACCTCTTGTTTGACTGGTTACACCCCAAGTGCAATTTACTACCTTTTTCCCTAGTGCAGCCTACTGCTCTGCTGGTGTGAACTTCATTCCATTCTCCTCTGTGACCCTGACCTTTCACACCTACAGATGCCTAAGAGCTCCTGAACACCATATTCATAGATGTTTGGGTTGGAAGGGACCTTAGCAGATCATCAAGTCCAACCCCTGCCCTGGACAGCAAAGAGCACTGGGGTCAGACAACCCCAGCCAGGTGCATGTGTAGCCTCCTCTTGAAGACCCCCAGGGTAGGGGAGAGCACCACCTCCCTTGGAAGCCCATTCCAGATTCTGGCGACCCTTACCATAAAGAAGTTCTTCCTGATATCTAACCTAAATCTGCTCTCCATCAGTTTGTGGCCATTGTTCTTAGTTACTCCAAGGGTTGCCCTGGTAAACAAAGCATCTCCTATTCCTTGCTACACCGCCGCACCGCCCTGCCAAATGGATTTGTAGGCAGTCACAAGATCACCTCTCAGCCTTCTCTTGCAGAGGTTGAAGAAATCCAGGGCCCTCAGTCTCTCATCACAGGGCTTTGCCTGCAGTCCCCTAACCATACAAGTGGCCTTCCTCTGAACCCTCTCAAGGTTGTCCACATCCCTCTTGAAGTGTGGCACCCAAAACTGGACACAGTACTCCAACTGTAGCCTGTCCAATGCCACAAAAGGGGAAATATCACCTCCTTGGAACTGTTTGTCATGCACCTGCTAATGCATGATAAAGTGATCGCTTCATTACATTGACAACTCGTGTTCATCTTGGAGTCAGCAGTGACTCCGAGATCCCTTTCTGCTGCCCAGCCTGTAAGCATGCTAGAGATTCCTCCTTAGGTGCAGCACCTTGCATTTGTCTTTATTGAACTGCATCCTGTTCTGTTCCACCCACTCTTGCAACCTGTCCAGATCTGCCTGGATTTGTTTCCTACCCTCTGATGTTTTAACTTAACCCCATAATTTGGTATCATCTGCGAATTTGGACAGAATGCTTTCCACACCCTCATCCAAGTCACTGATGAAGACATTGAACAGCTCCGGTTCAAGAACCAAGCCTTGTGGGACTCCACTGCCCACATCTTTCCAGGTCAATACCTACCCATCCACCACCACTCTCCGGGTGCAACCCCAAAGTCAATTTGCCACCCACCTGACTGTAATCATCTACATCACAGCCTGTCAGTTTATCTGTGAGAATAGAATGAGATACTGTATCAAAGACCTTCTTAAAATCCAAGCAGATGACATCTACCTCGACTCCTGCATCTAAGCATTTTGTGACCTGGTCATAAAAAGAAACAAGGTTAGTCAGGCATGTTCTACCTGCTATGAATCCATGCTGGTTTGCCCTTTAGCATTGCTTTTCTTTCTGGATTCCCACAAATGTGATCTTTAATAAATTTTAAAGATTTTCCCACGGATAGAGGTGAGACTAACTGGTCTATAGTTATCTGGATCCTCCTTCCTCCTCCTCTTGAAAATAGGGAACACATTGGCCCTTTTCCAGTCCTCTGGGACCTGCCCTGAGCACCAAGAGCGCTCAGACAACTGTGCCAGTGGCTCTGTTATGACACTGGCCAGTTCCTTCAGTACCCTTGGATAAAGATCATCTGGGCCTGCTGACCTAAACACATCCAGCCCCTCTAAGTGTCTCTTCACTAAGTCAGTGCTAACAGTTGGTAGGCTGGTTTCCCCTTTATACCTGTCTGTGATCCAGTTGGGAGATTTGTCCTGATCCGAGTTCAGAAATACAGAGGCAAAAAACTTGTTGAAGAGCTCAGCTTTGTCCCTGCTATCCGTCACTAATTGTCCTAGTTTGTCTTGTAGGGGTCCTATGCTACCCTGCACCTCCTTTTTGCTCCCTATATACTTGAAGAAGGACTTTTTGTTGTCTTTAATTTTTGCTACCAGCCTAAGTTCCATTTCTGTTTTGGCGTTTCTGACTGCCTCTCTGCAAGTGCGAGCCAAGTATACTCCTCCTTGGTAGCTACCACCTGCTTCCACTGCCTATATGCCTCTTTTTTTTGCCCCTAGGCTTTCCTGGATTTCCCTGTTCAGCCAAGAGGGTTTCTTGGCCCCTTTGCCCCCTTTCCTGAGCAAAGGGATAGTCTCCTGCGTCCATAGGCTTGCTCCCTTTAGGAACAACCCTTCCTGGCCTCCTATCTCACCAATTCTCCTGTTCTTCAGTGCCTCACTAACTAATCTGAGTACGCTGAAGTTAGCCTTTCTGAAGTCTAGCACTTCTGCCCTACTGCTTATCTTGCCCACCCTACACCAGATAGTGAATAGGTTACCTTGTGTCACTGGATCCCCAACCAAGTCATCCCCTGTAGCCAGGACCAAGTCCAGTGAGGCATTTCCCCAAGTGAGACTGTATGCCTCCTGTGTTCGGTGAAGGTCCTGTATGCAGGTTAAGAACCTACATGAACGGTTGGAACTAGCTGACCTGCTCCTCCCTGCAGATGTCTGGGTAGTTTAGGTCACCCATGACAACCATGTCTCTTGACCATACGGCCTCTGCAAGCTGTCTAGAGAACTCCAGGTCCAACTTCTCCTGATGTTGTGGCCTGTAGTAGACCCCCACTACCAAGTCCCTTTCCCCTTGACCCCCTTGCATTCTGACCCACATTGCCTCAATTTGCCCCTCCTCTGGTCCCATCTTGACTATGGAAGATGTATGTTGCTCCTTCACAGAGAGAGCAACACCCCCCACCACTCTTTTTTCCCTACTGTATTATGTCTGTATAGCCTATAGTCCTCAATGCTCATTGCCAATCGTGGGTAGAGTCCCACCAAGTTTCAGTTAGTCCAACTAACTTGAAGTTCTTGTTTGTAAGCAGGACTGTGAGTTCCTCTTACTTGTTCTCCATGCTCCTAGCATTAGTGTAGAGACATTTGAGCCCCGTGATGGGTGCCCTTGGTGCCCACCTGTCCTGATGCCCATCAGGCCCCTTAGTAGTTAAGTGGGTTGTTCCGGCGCATGGTTTGTAGTTTGTTGATCCTAGGTTCTCTCTGTCGTCTGCATCCCTATCCCCCAACAAACCTAGTTTATAGCCCTGCATAGGAGATCAGCCAACCTGGAAGAGAACAGACTCTTACCTTTTGAAGACAGATGAAAGATCACATCCCAGGATGCCCCTTTCGTGGAAGTGTGGATCATGCTCGAAGAAGCCAAAACCTGCTTGATAACACCAACTCCAGAGCCGCAGGTTGACTCCAGACATATCTCTGACACCTCCAAGCTGTGGTCCAATCTCCCAAATTCCCTCCTTTATGGTAGTGAGAAATGGGCCTTTACTTTCCACTTGTCCTCCAGAATGGAGGGGCTTTCCACAGCCTCCAGAATGAGAGGGGACAGTGGGTGCCCCAAATACAACCTGGCTTACAAATCTCGAGTCTGCTGCAGTGTTCTGGCTTTCATGTATCCATTGGTTACTGGATCCTGGATCCAACTATCCAGTTCAGAGGCAATTGGCCAGTCTGTGCCACCTCTTTTGATCCCACATCCTGTTCAGGGTCTCTGCCTTTCACTGCATTCCAGTCCACTCTACTATATCCACAGCTTGTTCCTGCCTCTGGATGTTTCCTTCTCTTCCCTTATAGGGTCCATGGAGGAGGGAATCCCTGGAAGGCAGTCAATGACATGCCCACAGAACCCATGTTTTTCTGGGCTACCATGTTGTCAAGCTGTTTTCCAGCCAGTGCCATCCTCTGTAATTACTGTTTCGCATCCTCTCTATCTGGCTAACCTTTAGTCTGGCCTCTTATTAATTATTCTTCTCCCTGTGTTACCTTGTTCAAAGCAGTGGCGTTGGCCTTGAAATTGGGATTAATTAAGCATTTAACCAGTTCCTGTTATGGATGGAACAAGGGTAGCCATGCTTAGGACATTCTCTGGTGGCTTCTGTGGAAATGAATCTCGCCTGCATCCCCACCTGTTCCTTCTCAGCCCTGGGTATACAGAAGCTTACATATGCCTCCTGTTTCCCCACCTCTACTTGGTGGCTACTTGGTGTCTGGCTTATAGTGGGGCTGGGCTTCGGTGGTGGGTTGTTTAAATAGCCCTGCAACACGAATTGGCGGGGAAAGAACAAATGCATTCCTTTCATTCCTGAGGAAGGTCCTTTAAAAACGAGTCATGGCAGGTTAATTTTAATAGGCCAGCCCTCCAGAATGAGGTGTTGGTAACTTCAGCGCCTGGAAGCACTAATGTCTGATGAATGGGAAGAGGCAAAAAGCCAAGCATGTAAGATGCCAAACTCCTTCAGTGATCTCTGCAGCTGGTGGGAGCTTGCATCCAAAGCCCAATCTCAGGGAGTCAAGAGACTCCTGTTGACTTTGGGAGGTTTGGGGTCAGGCTGCAAGCCTGTGCTGGGCTCTGAAGAAGGGCAGTGCTGCAG